AAAAAAAAACCAAACAATGGGACACAAACTGCACTGGGAGTGAGGAGAGAGAATATGTGAGAGGAACAACTCTGCAGACACCAAGGTCAGTGAAGAAGGAGGCGGGGGAGGAGGTGCTCCAGGCACTAGAACAGACATTCCCCTGCAGCCCGCGGTGGAGACCGTGGTGAGGCAGGCTGTGCCCCTGCAGCCCATGGAGGTCCACGGGGGAGCAGATATCCACCTGCAGCCTGGGGAGGACCCCACGCCGGAGCAGGGGGATGTGCCTGAAGGAGGCTGTCACCCTGTGGGGGACCCACACTGGAGCAGTCTGCTCCTGAAGGACTGCACCCCGTGGAAGGGACACACACTGGAGCAGTTCATGAAGAACTGTAGCCCGTGGGAAGGACCCGCGTTGGAGAGGTTCATGGAGGACTGTCTCCCGTGGGAGGGACCCCATGCTAGAGCAGGGGAGGACTGTGAGGAGTCCTCCCCTGAGGAGGAAGGAGCAGCAGAGACAATGCATGATGAACTGACTACAACCCCCATTCCCCATCCCCCTGCGCTGCTCAGGGGGAAGAGGTGGAGAAAATCAGGAGTGAAATTGAGCCTGGGAATAAGGGAGGGGTGGGGGGAAGATGTTTTAAGATTGGGTTTTATTTCTCATTACCCTACTCAGCTTTGACTGGCAACAAATTAAACTGATTTTTCCCAAGTCGAGTCTGTTTTGCCTGTGATGGTAATTGCTGTGTGAACTCCCTGTCCTTATGTCGACCCACAAACTTTTTCATTATATTTTCTCTCCCCTGTCCAGTTGAGGAGGGGAGTGATAGAGCGCCTGTGGTGGGCAGCTGGCATGCAGCCAGGGTCAACCCACCACAATCTCTTTCTTGACTTAGGTTTAAATTATTAATCTTCTGAAATAACTTTACTGTTACTGTTCACAGATTAAATTGGCATGGGTAATGAGCATTAATTGGGTTCTACCTAATCTGACAGTCAAAGTAGTTGAAAGAGACTTGACAAATGATGCTTCGTAAAAGACAATACTGATTTATTTTCAGATTTATTCATTGCTTGAGACCTTTAAAGGTGTATTTTTGTCATGCAAACTGGCACTGTGCTCTTTGAAAAAGAAAACAAAACAAAAAGTTACTGCTTACGATAGGGAAAATCTTACAAAATGTCTTGAATATAAAATGGATTTTGTGCTGAGCTGTAACCGGTCTGAAGCTGTTGTCTTTGAATCAGTCAGCAAGCAAGAACTTTTCTGCTAGTGAACAGTTACATATTTCAGCAATGGACATTGTTTAGTGTCTGTAAATCAGCCCTTAAAATACCATCAGACTGAAGTCCCAGCATAATTAAAGCAAGTCAAAGATACCTAATAAGTCCAAAATAACCGAGTCACTTTTTTTAACATGTAATAAGAAAGAATTATTTTCACATTAAGTAAATCTTAGGAAGCAAGGCACTTGTAGTAGTTACATTTGGCACAAACATAATTTTCTGATCGTGACCCATACCCTGAAATCATGAAAGAGCAGGAAAATGGGATATTTCTTTCTCTTAAAAGATACCAAGCAGATCTAAGTAATCAATTGTACAATTATTTTCATCATTCAGGAAAGTCTGCCTGTAATGTTCCATGCATTTACGGCTTGTAATGGGTTGTTGGTGTTTTGGTTTGGGGTTTTTTTTTTCATCCAAAGAGGATGAAAGTCAGCCAAACACACTTAAAACTTATTTTGTATTGCCAAATTGGTACTATTTGTTCATGGAAGCAGAACACCGAAAACATCTTAACCTTAATGATATATTTGATGGGCAGTTATAGAAAGTATCTGGTGAAACTAGATGCTTTTAAAATAGTCATTAGCAAATATATTATTTAAATGATGACTGAAACCTTTTATGAACCATTCTGTCCAAAGAAACTTGCACTTTTTCAGAGTATTGGTGAAAATAATCACAAAAATCTCTGAAGTCGTATTTGTGTTTTATGTTTGCATAGCGTACAGCTGTCACTTGTTGTGGTAACTGTAACAACAGTATCTATAGCTAGTAGATATTCAGTATTCAGTAAGTGCTGTCCCTCAAAAAAACCCCCAACCAAACAAACCACCACAAAACCAAATCCAGACAGCTTCCTCTCTTTTGCCATAATTACTCATTGTGTGTGGTGATTAAGACTCTAGCTATTACATAGTAGAAGATAAAAATTACTGAATTCCAAACTTGTTAGATGATGTATTGAAAACAAATAATTAAAAATTTACAGTCACCATATGAACTTTTTGTAGTTACTGTATTTAATTGGTTTATATGTCAGTTGCAACAAGCTAGGCTGTCATCATAAAATCTGAACTGTGGTTTTTAAAACCATTCTCCATAAAGCAAACAACCCTAAATGCTTTATCTGGTGCTGGGGCTTTTTTGTGTTGTGAATTGACTCCTATTATGAAATGACTACTGATGAAGAGGACAGTTTGCTGTGTGCACTCTTTGATAGTGAAAGCCAATAGTCTTGCAAAGTTTTCAGGTGGCTCCTAAATCAGTTACTCTTTATTCTGAAGAATCACCTAAGAGATCCTGTGTTTGGCATTACCTTCCAATCTTGGAAACTTGTCTTATTCCCTGCTGACAAATTGCTTCTTCCTTGGGTAGTACTGTGGTTTAAACAGAGCTTTTTGTGCTACAGAGGCTTTCTCTCCCCCTCTTGTTCTGCCGTCATTTGTCTAGGAGTACCTCTTCCAAATTGCTCAAATGCTGAGGATTTTCCTTGTGCCACGCAATAGTTTTCAAAAATTCTAATCCTTAATCTCAACCCTTCGAAAAGAGATTAGAGAGAATTGCCTTATTTTGTAAGGCACAGTTACTCTTATGTTTCCTTGAAGAGCTGTGTATTTGTTGGCAGTCTTTAATAATGGACCTGGTTATGGATAGATTGGCTGTCACCAACATGAATTGATTTTCCATAAAACATACAGCACAGTGAAGGGCAGTCGTACGGACAGTTCACAAAACCAAACTGGAATTGCTAAATTGAAGAAAAATTCCCAAAGTTTGCAGTTTGATTCTTAGATTCAGGTGTGAAGAATTTATGACATAGAAAATGCAAAAATTAGGCAGATTGCTCCATCCTCAGAAAGCAGCTATGATAGTGTCATTTGCATTATTAAGGGCACCTTTCTGAAAGCCAGTGGGCGAACATAGACCTCTGTATTTGCGTGTCTTGTGCTGAGTCTAGATTTGGGTTTCTGTTCAACTTTGCCACAGTCTGTCTTGTTCTGCTTTGGACGAAGCTGCACTCTAACTTGTACTGCTTGTTGAGGCTGAAATTACGAGTATAATGGATGTTGTAAAACAACAAAGACTGAAATGAAGTGTTGGTGCTTTTTACTTCTTGACAAAAAGTACACACAAAGGAAAGAAATGAGGACTACAGAGGAGTTTTGCATTGTGTATGAGACTATGGCTGAAAGTTTAGCAGTCTTACATAAAATTAATTTAGGAGAAGAATGTATCTTTACAAAAGCTTTACCTTTAAAAATACGGAGCTTGCTAGCCAGAATTTATAGAAGTGCTATGTGCTATACTACCACTTCTTCTGTTTTCTGAGTGTATTTCTTTTTGCAGCTTTAAATCGTTCTTAAAAAAAACCCAAAAAACCCAAAAAAAAAAACCCCCCAAGCCTAACTTATACAGGCTTTGAAAGGATAAAGTACTTGCTTCCTTGTTTAACTAATTAATCAAAAACACAAGTGAACAGACATTTTCTTTAAATGAGTAAAGCAAAACTTGAAATCTAACAAAAGAGAAATTTCAATGGGAAAAGAAACTGAATGAGAGAAATTACAGGAACAATTAATATTAAACATGTACTATCTATGTAATACATTGCGTTATAGTTGTCTGGTATATTTGCATTAATTGTATGCATTTACTTGATTTCTTTTATTTTAAGGTCATGGAACATCCTTTAATATAGATTGTAATGTCTGTTCATGTTTTGCTGGAAACTTGATATGTTCTACACGTCAGTGTCTCACTGAGCATAGTTCAGAAGATGAACGTCGGAAGTTTACAGGTAACTTTCCAATCTATGAAAACTGTAAGCTTAATATTCTTAGAGCAAGGATTAGCTTCTAAATTCTTTTTACACAATTAATGAAAAATACCCGATAATTTGTTATTAATATGTTCTTTTAACTATTTATTTTTCTCATGTCCAACCTGTGCTTCAGAAAAAAACACATACCTTTTAAAAAAAAAAAAAGTACTGAAAAATAAAACCTCAGGTAATATGTAAAAATAGGTAGACACAGGGTAATGCCACTGGGGACATGAGATACGGAGTTTGGGGAAAAAATTGAGAAAGATGAGTAGAATTAGCAAGGAGGCAGGGCACAAACTTCCCTTCCTACTACTTATAAGTGCACATGTGCTACAGCATTGCTAAATTACTGGAGGGAGGAAGTGGCTGAAGATAGGGCACATCTTTGCATTTGCTGGAAGGCAAAGATATCGTAGTGACCCCTTGTGTATCTTCTGCCATAGAAAATAAGTATGCACCAAATTCCTGTTGTGTGTGTTGCTTTTACAGGTTTACCATGTAACTGTGTAGATCAGTTTGTACCAGTATGTGGTCAAAATGGACGCACATATCCAAGTGCATGTATAGCTCGGTGTGTTGGGCTCCAGGACAATCAATTTGAATTTGGATCATGCCTTTCCAAGGATCCTTGTAACCCCAACCCTTGTAATAAAAATCAGAGGTAAAAGCAGAGTATGTTTTTAAGCTTTTATTTGGCATCAACTACTTGTGAAGCAGATTTACTTTTTCTTTGAATGTGTTGTATATTGTGGTAACATTCTACTTTTGGGGTATTCCAATAAAAATAACAGTTTGAAGTAGCTACTTTTTATTTATCATAGTAACGGACTGTAATAACTGCCAATTGTTGGTTCTGTTGATGTAGTGCTGTATCATTTAAATTCATTATGCAGATCTCAGTTTTAGCAATAAAAGAGGACTGATGTATACTTTCAAAAATGAGAAAATCAAATTTTGTTGAAATGGCAATTAGTGTCACTTTACTACTTTGTTTCACACCTTCTTCCGGTAGTTAAAAAAAAACCCACACATGAATTCAAGACTTGGATTCAGTCTTGCTTATTCAGTCAATAATCTGTGCTTTTTATCTCTAAAATAGGAAAATGTCGATCACTGTAAGACTTGAGATTCTCTTAATTAGATTGAATCTTGTGAAAACCATGTCTGTACAATCTCTGGTTTTTGTGCCAGAAAAAAACAAAATCTGTATAGACAAACGTGTTAAAACTAAAATATGCTTTGTACTAGTGTCAGGAGAAAAGAAAATCTGACCTTTCTTACAGAAATCAAAGTCTGTGGCTCATAATATTGGTCTCTGTCTTCAATTTTCTCAGCATTGTGCAATACTGCAGTCCTTTGAATTTGTACATTTTTCTGTTTTGAAAGAAAGCCACCATAAGAAGTTGTGTAATACTGTGCTTTCATTAAAACTGATTATAGCAATTTTTTTTTCCTTTTTTTTCTGCACTTTAAATGCCTTGATGCAGAAGACTACAGAGAAAACACTGTAGTTTTGTAGCTGTAATAGCCATTACGACATTGAAAACTAGAATTTCAAAGCTGCATTGTGGATATACACTTTTTACCTTTTATATTTTTAATTTGGAAAGTATAGAGAGGTTTTTCAGTTTTACAGAATAACCATTATGCTTAGAACCTCAACTTGTAGTTTCAGTAAAGGACTGTACACAATACATTTTTCTGGGTCAGTTTGATAATGTGGCGTAAATTAAACATGCTCATTTTAAAATATCTCTGAAGTGCTTAGAATCTATTTAAGATCTTACATTCCACTTGTATGGAATCTCAGAATTTCTGAGTCTTCCCTAATATAAAAGGAAAATGTGTAATGCATAGGACAGCAGCACTCGGAGAGAATAAGGATGTATTGTTCATAATCCAGCAGTAGCATTGTTGTCATTTATAGAAGGAGGAGATTGTTAAAAAAGCCATTTGACCTTTCATCTGTCTATTCATCAAACTCTGTTGGCTGGCATTTCTCTAGCAGAGGGATGTCTTGCAGGGCATATGGCAAATGTTCTGTGGATAAGACCAGTTAAGGTACATATTTAATATAAAGGAGCAAGAATTTCTGCTGTTTATTGCTCTTTACTTCTTATCTGTGAAGGCTTGAGAGGGATGACATGCCAAAAAAGGAAATGGTGTTAATACCAGATTTTTCCATTTGTTTGCAGTCATCCCCAAGATTGGATGTGATATAGTATACTGAACCTTACAAAGCTAGAATCCAATTAGATACTTGTAATTGAAACCATATAAACTTGTAAGTCTTCTTTTCACTAGCTTCTCAAGGAAGGGTGAGGCTAGACCTCTGCAATATAATCTTCTTCTGTTGGAGTTCATTGTTTTCATGTTTTCTCTGGTTTTCCTTAAATATGCATTTACAAAATGAAGCTTGGGAATAGGTAAGAAGCCTTTTTTGAAAATCCATTGAAAAATGTTTGGTAAAAGATTAATTTTAGTGGAAACTGTAGTTGTGTTCACATACATTGACTAAACTTGGTGTGAACCAGTTTCAGGTTTGTCATGACATCTGACATTGGCTATTCAGAATGTTTTATTACATGTATTTCCTGCAGCTCTGCTGAACCATAGTTAGCTCTAAACCACTGGAGAAGATTTCACTGAAAATATTTTCCCCAAGTATTTTGAGACTTAAAAAAAAAATCCTATGACGTGATAAGAAATTATTATTACTTTATGCAGGTGCATACCAAAGAAACAAGTTTGCTTGACTAGTTTTGGAAAGTTTGAATGTAGCCAGCATGAATGTGTGCCAAGGCAGTTAAATTGTGACCAGACACGGGATCCTGTTTGTGACACAGACAATGTGGAATACAGTAACTTGTGTACTTTGTACCAAAAAGGAAAAACTTTAGCATACCGAGGACCATGCCAGGTAGGAAGTGGTTCTAGCAGTAAATATCAAATCATCTTTGTTCTTTAATGTTCAACTTTGCAATATTCTGGTTTTTATACCTTATAAAATGTTGTCATTGAAAGTAATCCTTTAAAAATGTAATTTTCAGTAGCATAAAAAATACTCTCACAAAATTATATTCAGAATTTTGTCAAGTGTCTCTCTGCTTTAGTTAACAGTTATCTCAAAACCAATCAAAAGCTTTACTTATGCTTTCTTGGGGATAATACTCTGATCTTTATATTGAATCTTCCTATACTTTTCACTATTAAAGCTTGCACTGAGGTATGTTTGCAGTAATTAGTGCATTTCCTTGGTTAGTTAAATGCTAGTTTTCATCAATTTGAACTTGTTTTAAATAAAAATTAATGCCTGGTCATAGAAAGTCTTTAGCATTTTCTGTGATTGTGGCCCAGGTTTACCAAGTTCATTGTTCAGGATCTATTTACACCTAAGTTTAGCTGGAGATTAGGCAGTCTGTAATATTTTCTTCAGTTAGTCTGGAATTGGATTAGTCTTTTAGTCTCTATTAATCCCTGAGAGGGTTTAGGGTCAGGTTTAGTTCTTCTGTCCCACTGCTCCCTACAGTTTTGGTAGACAAGCTATTTCTATCGCTTTACAAGAAAAGTTAGGGGGCTACTCTTTTCAAAGTTGCTGGCTTTACCATTGATAGGCTGTTCATCTCCAGGTTTTTCTCAAATGATGAAGATTAATTTGAGACCTTCTCTTTGTCTCAACTGATGCATATTCTTAGAAGTACAGAACATTTTTTCATGTTTTTTCTGTATTATAAATGCTGTTGCTCTTTTAACCCACTTTTAGTTTCTGCCTTTCTGTCTTTATACCTTCTTTTTCTTACCCTTTTTCAGCAACCTCGTTAAGTACAGATAATTCTTCTCATTGCACATCAGATATCTCATGAGGTACTCAGAGAATGTTCAGCCCTTGAACAGTAAGAATCAAAGGAATATTGCATGGCTGGTTTTTTTCTCCAGCAGTTGTATGTCTAGTTGTATCCATGTTCGTGAAGTCTTTGACACTGGTAGCTTTAAGTTTTCACTCTTCCTTTTATAGAGAAGATGACTGCAAGATATGAAACTATTTGGGGTGCTCACATTTACTCGTCCTCTATCTGTTTTGTTGTTAGCTTAGGTGTGTAACATAGAAACTGTAATTGTCTTGCTATTGTAGAGGATATACAGTGATCATATAGCTATGGTGACTGACTTGAAATATTAGTTAGTTTAATAAAATATTTAGACCTTAGCAAGAAATTATGGAATGAGTTGTGTCATTTCACAAGACTTTGGACAAAAGTATTAGTCATACCTTGTCTGCAAAGAGTCAGCAATTCTATTTGTTTCTGTCCATGTTCAGAAGCTTAAGTTTATTGGCATTTGACCTCTTGAATGTGTTGGACTAATAGATGTGCACAGGCGGGATAGGAAGAAGCTATCTTACAATTTGCTTTGATTTTTACATGTGTTTGAATCAAATGACACATTAGGTCTGTTTTTCTGAGAGAAAATGGGCACAATGAATGTATTTTTATAGATGTAAAGGTCTCAACAATAAATATATTTTTGACAGAGGTATCTAGTAATGGATTTTATTCTTCTGAAGTAAATGTATACATTTAGCTTCTCAAATAATCTGTTAGAAATATATAGAATCATAGAATCATTTAGGTTGGAAAAGACCTTTAAGATCATTGAGTCCAGCCGTAAACCTAACACTGCCAAGTCCACCACTAAGCCATGTCCCTAAGTGCCACATCTACACATCTTTTAAATCCCTCCAGGGATGGGGACTCAACATGCGCACACACACTAAAATTTTAAGAACACAAAAACACACTGAGATGAATGAATAAATAAATTATTAATAAGTCATTCAAATAATAATCAATAAATACTACAATATGAAATATTAATAAATTAATTTT